CGTGTTAGAAATTGTTTTTAACGTTCCCAAGAATGAGATGATGTTTTGCTTCTGTCACCGACTATTTGGTATAATTCAATTGACTTGGTTCAAACAAGTTGTTGTCCGGTTCAACGAGCCAAATTTAAACTCTAAAACTTGCAATATTTTCAATTGGCAGAAGTGGCTGCATAAATGTTTGATTTCCCGTTTTGGATTTGCCTTCCCGAAAAAGTCGGAATGTGGGGGCATTAAATGATTTTCTGACCCTGCTCTCCTGAATCACTCAAAGTAACAAAAAATTAGTGCCTGGACATCTTTTTAAACTCAATAGTTCGCACCTGTCTCTCGTTTACCACACGTCGATCTAATAAAAACGATAGCAACTATGGCGACCAAAGTACAGAAGATTATGGTGCAGCCCATAGTACGTACAATAGTTACTAGGAAACGACATTGCTATAGTGAATCCGCCAAACAATTAAAGCTTTTTTTCTTTCATTTCGTTCTGTAGAACTTGATCTTCAAGTACCTGCAAAATGTAAGTTTCGAGGGAATTGACCGACGCGTAAACGTACATAGTTTCGCAATTTATTTAATTGGTTTGTGTTTTTATTCGACAGAAAACACGAGTACAGATCTGGTTATTCGAGCAAGTAGATCTTAGAATCGAAGGGCAAATAATCGTAAGTTCGTGGTCTCTGTCCCTTGTCGTTAGCAAATACCGAGAGATGTTGGATTGTACCATTAATATGAATTTAAAATTTCTAGGGCTTTGACGAATTCATGAATTTGGTGCTTGATAACGCGGAGGAAGTCAACAGCAAGAAGAGCACGCGGAAGGGTTTAGGTTCCAAATATACAAATATATATAATAACGAATGCCATCGTCTTTCCCTTGTTGTCAATAACATGCTCATTATTACGCTTTAATAGGTCGAATATTGTTGAAAGGGGACAACATCACACTCATCCAAGCGGTGGAAAAGGTTCAATAAACGTTTTGACGAATTTTAGAAGATATGCGAGTTAATATCTTGGTCATTTTCGCTTCGCGATTGAAGCATATCTTCTTGTGTGAAAAAGAACGATTCGGTCAGAACACATAAGTTTTTGATCTCATCACTCGTTTCTAACGACATTCTTCATGATGTTTTGTTTCATAATTATATGCGGTCAACTTGACATTGGTCGGATATGCCCACACCACACAATTCATAAAACACGATCGCTGGTCTCACTAAAAGTTCAGAAATCTTCGAGTATTTGAATCCTTTACCCGAACTCTCGGAACAAGCGACAGTCAATTAGAATTTAGTTGCGAGTGTTTCAGGTTTTATTTTATTACATCGCAATATATTGCTATTTCACTCACAAGAAGGCACTCGTATGATTGGATTTAATAGTTCAAGTATTATTGAACAGAATACATCACACTCATCCAAGCCGCGGAGAAAATTGAATAAATATTACTGTGTAGATACGATACTCTATCTCTTCGTAGATACTGATCCAATCTCCACGAATTCGAATCAGCTTTCTTGGCACCCTAGCCATTCATTATTTACGGTACCATAATTGAGTAGTCTACGAAAAGATTAATCATTATCACGTAAGCATTGGCGAAAGGAAGCTTGCAGCAAAGTACATCCAAACGGCAGAATAAATATGCTCATTATTCGTTGACTACACAATCTGGACATTGACTTATTGTAGTTGTGCAGTTTTCCGGCAGAATTGCCAAAATTCCATGAACCAACGTATCTTGATCAACCGAAAAGCTGCGCAATCCTCTGCTCATAACATCCAGAATGGAGTAGAAAATGTAATATAGTTATTGGCTACATACCCTTGACCGCCTCATTTTCTTCTGCAGTTGAAGCACTCCATAGAGCAACGCTTCTGCTGTGGGAGGACATCCGGGAACGTAGATGTCGACGGGGACGATTCGATCACAACTAATTATTAACCGAAACCATCAGTATTTGCCCATATTGCTTGAAATTGGTCCGACTTTGACTCACCCTCTCACCACACTGTATGAGTAGTGATAATATCCACCACCATTAGCACAAGAACCCATAGAAATCACCCAACGAGGTTCTGGCATCTTCGAATTCCATATTCAATAATTAATGAACTATTGTCATTAGAGACATTAAACATCCTCTCCACCATACCTGATCATAAACTTTCCTCAAAGGAGGTGCCATCTTGTTTGTAAGAGTGCCTGCAACAATCATAACATCTGACTGTCGTGGCGATGCTCTGAATACTACACCAAGACGATCCTGATCGTATCTTGATGCAGCCATGTGCATCATTTCAACTTCATGTGAATAGAGGGATAGGGTGTCAGACAGACGGATATAAGCACGTTCTTAGAGTCAGTTAGTTGTAAGTCAACATTACCAGCACAGCAGGCCAATCCAAAAGTCTAAGGGTAAATTGTAGATACGAGTTAATGGAAATAGGAAAGGCAATTTAAACAATAACTGTCGTCTCAATACTTGCCATCGGCCAAATGGAACTTTGGCGACTCCAATTAACGACTTGATCCACGGTTGCAAGTACATATTCTGGATACACACACACATTAACAAATCACGATCTTGACGTCTTCCCTGCAGAAAGCGTCAAACAAAACACCCACCGGCTGTATTAGCAGGCTTAGCAAGCGCAAAGTCCTCTTGGACGAGTGTCTTCCCAGACACAGATTTACTTGTCGATGGCGTTATATCCGTGGACGTCGTAAGCGAAGCCTTTATAATGGTACGCGCTGGTGCTGATTAGACAATGGACTGATAAGTAGGGTTGTGACAAATCTTCACGACCAAATATAATGCATGAATGGGTTCTCGTACCAGCTGTGAGAGAGCGAATATTCTTTAGGGTAGCAAGCATAGCTGTGGTCGAAAATTTGGGTGACGAAAATTTCAGTCTAATCTCAGCCACGATCTGCATTTATTTACAGTCAGAATCTCTCCCGTGAAAATTACTTGACTATGTATACAATAAAGTTAAATCTTTTTGAGATTTAGCATCTCGAACATTACCATAACAGCATAAACAAATGGATTTATCACAATATGCTTTTGTTCAAATTTCTCACATTGTTTGCATTATTGACTGCCGAGGGACCCATTCTGGGATTTAACCCGTTCTGAGAATGGGTCAACCCGTTTCAATATTGTCACTTTTTTTTCGATGTTATCACATAACATATGTAGTTTATTGGGTCAAGAGATTATTCTAACGTGACGGGTCACAACATCAATATTAAATATTAATATTTTCCGAGCCAAATTGAAATCGGTGTGACAGATCTACAATAATAAACCCGCCCAATTCTCTCAGCAGGCTGCCCTGTAAAAATTATGCTGTCATTCTACTTCCCTACGAAGCGAGTATTCATCGCGTTTGCTTTAATTTCCCTTATACTTATTGCACTTATCGCTACCTATAACTACAAACCGGTTATAAGTCCTCACGAAGACTATAATGCTCTCGGAAATTATGTCCAAATATCTTTTCTTCAACCTGAGTACTATAATAAACGACTGATATTTATAGGAGACGTACATGGAATGCTGCATGAGTTGGAGGAATTGCTCAATAAGCTAAAATATAATAAGGAAAACGATCACTTGATATTTGTTGGTGATCTAGTAGCAAAGGGACCTCATTCACTGGAAGTTGTGAGATATGTTTATGATCTCGGTGCCAGTTGTGTGAGAGGTAATCACGACGACAAGGTTTTGAAATGGAAACATTATCTGAGGCTTCTTGAAGAAGATGGACTTGATCTGAGTGAACATATTCAAAGGGGATGGCTGCCTAAAGATATCGTGGCCGGCAGTGAGCATGAAAAGTTGGCAAGGTAATTATAACAGTCGTGTTGAGAATGCGCATATTGAAAGTGACGATGTTTGAATTGCAGCTAACTTGCTATTTCGCTATTTTTGTAGAAATTTGGACGAGAGTGCTTATCATTATCTGCAGCAATGTCCTTTGATCCTCGAGATCGAAGAGCTAGGAATTTATGTTGTGCATGCAGGCTTGTTACCACATATACCCCCCGATCAACAGAAACCATTCGACGTCATGAATATGGTCAGTATTACTATTGCACTGTTGTTATGAATCGTGCAAATGCTTGACTTATTCATGGTATCTTTTAATTCTTCAATTATAACAGCGCAACATACGAAATGATGGATCTGCGTCCAAATCCAGGAAGTACGGACAACCGTGGTTTAAAATATGGAATGATGTCCAGGCAAATTCGACAAGTCCAAAGACTGTCGTCTATGGACATGATGCAGGGAGAGGATTGACGCTGAGACAGTATTCCTTTGGAATTGACTCTGCCTGCGCCAAAGACGGTCAACTGACCGCTTTAATCTGGAATGAAGACAAGAAAATTATCTCTGTGCCGTGCACTAAAGACGCGAATACAGATATTTTTCGACATTAACAATAGTGTGAATACTAATTAATTTATACTTTTCCACAAATACACCTCTAATGCGACAGATAGTAAATACAATATGTTCAACTTATGTACTATTAAACATGTTACTATTAATCATATAGTTGGCTTTGATACTTTGCATGATTTTCTTTGGGCCAAGTAGCTGTATTTATAATAACGGGGAAATTGTCCGAATTCATAATTTGATTAAGTAATAATTCAATGCGAAGCCCTTCGTTGAAAGCCCGGCTAGCTCAATCGGTAGAGCGTGAGACTCTTAATCTCAAGGTTGTGGGTTCGACCCCCACGTTGGGCGATCGCTTTTTGAAAGCACTTGTAAGCACTTTTTCAGTATAGCCATGCATGAAGTCGCGTATTGGTTACCGTTTTCGGTGAACACGTAAAACAAACATTTTTATTAATGCCTGTAAATTACAATGTAATAACCATAATCGCAATCTTGCTTTTGGTGTTCACGCAATATAGCGATTGCGCGCGTGATCAACTCTCCCAAATATGTGACCAAAAAAAAAATCAAGATTCCGCATTTTTCGTATAATGCATAGACGTCAATTTCCTTTACGCAGATTTGGTACTCATCTGTCACATTCTCCAGACACAAAGAAATCTATTGCAACAGCATTAATATCAGCACAAGACAATGGAGACAAGTCCAATTTTGTCGGAGCTACACTGGATGAGATACGAGAAAGAATATCAGTCGTTGTACCAGGAATAAAATCGTTTGTTGGATTACAGATATACCAATTCATTTATCGAAAGGGTTCGGACAAAAATCTGTTACAGTATTCGACCGTTTATCTGACCTCTCTATGTGACCATGCATTGGCTCATTAATGTAGGAGTTCAGTCGTTTTATGAAATGACAAACCTCTCGCAAAGTTTACGTGAAAAACTTGACGAACATTTTTCTGTGGATTATGGCGTACGAAAGGTTAACTTTAATTTTATTAAGATCAATCATTTATCACATGTTGACAAAGCCAATACGTATACTACAACTGACATCCAGCCACTTTTTCAAACGTGCGTCCTTATCAACAGCAAGATCGCTTTTCAAAGGATGGAGCACGTAAAATGCTGATTGGTTTCCGTGAACCCAACGCAGTTTTTGAAACTGTTTTGATTCCAATGGGCGACAATCGTCATACACTCTGCGTCTCTTCCCAAATCGGTTGCAGCCTTAACTGCCGTTTTTGTCGTACTGGCACACAAAAACTTACACGTCATCTCCTAGCTGAAGAGATTGTCGGTCAATACATGATCAATGCTGCTGCTGTTGACGAATTTCCAATCGAAAATCTCAAGACTCGAGGAGTCTCCAATATTGTGTTTATGGGGCAAGGAGAACCACTGTACAACTATAAGAACGTCAGTAAGGCTGTGAAGATATTGACGGATCCTCAAGGGATCGGAATGCCGAAACATAAAATCACAATATCAACCGCAGGAGTTGTGCCGTTGATTAAACGTGCTGGAGAAGAGTTGGGAGTGTCCCTTGCCATATCTTTACATGCGGTAAATGATGATGTGAGAGACGTGATTGTTCCGTTGAACAAGACGTATCCTATCGGCATGCTGTTGGACACATGTAGAAAGTATTCGAGATCAATGAATAACCGAACTAGAAGGATCACATTCGAGTATGCGTCTTACTTGGGGGGAATTTTTGGTAGCTGAAAACGATAGACTAACTCGCTGTGCTTTGTCATTCGATACAGATATTGTTTGTTAAAAGGGGTTAACGACAGCCTGGCCGATGCACAAGAATTGGCACGTCTATTGAAAGACATTTCTGCACATGTAAACGTGATGTAAGTGCACGTGCTGTAATATGGTTAATCTGTAGTCATTCTAATTATCGGTCATTTTGTATACTAGTCCGTTCAACAAATGGCCTGGAAGTGAGTACGAAACGCCCGATAAGGAGACAATCGAACAATTTACCAATACCATTATAGAGAACGGAACCCACGCGACACTTCGAACGCCCCGCGGTTTAGGTAATGTGATTTCACCTTTATTTGTATTTATTTTTTTCTTCCTCACCTTTTTTTCCTACTCCTGTTCATTAGATATACTGGCCGCTTGTGGACAACTAAAGAGTACCCACATGAACAAAGCCAGTGCACCTCCTAATAGCTGACGATACATGTAGATGAATGCATATGTACATTTATTGAAAATGAAGAACGTTCTATTCTTTATCCTTTATAAATGAAAGTCAAAAATTATTACATCTCTTGCGTATTATTGAGATGACTGCTCATTCAAAATTCGATAATGTATACGTGCAAACTATCCAGACGTTACAACGTCTGTTCTAATCTAATTGTTTTAGAAATCCTGTACGGACCAAAATTGTGACATTTTAATTAAACAATAGAGAAATTATTAAAGAATGGATTGAAACGAGAAATACAAAAGTTGCATTCGTGCAGAGATACTGGTCATGCGTTTCTTGTGCAGTACGATGTCGCATCACTGCTCTGCCTCAGTCGTTCTAACACCTTTTCAAATCCTTGACGCCCCTTTTGTGCATTGTCATGGAATCGCTGGACGCAAAAAGATTCGATATAATTCGCAAAGCGCTCGAGAGATTCTCCGCACTTTATGCTTGCTTCTTGAGTAAAGCAAGTTCTAAATGAAATATGAACAAGACAAGTTGAACAGAATGAGTATGTGATTGGAATGTTGGCAGAATGCAATACAAATGAACCGAAATACCCGCTGACATTAGCCTCGAACACTTACCTTGATGAATCTTCGGGATCTTCCGAATACACAACGGTCTCAGCAACATTGACCAAATGCTTCAAATTCAAATTCCAGCTTGTCATCTTTAATACTTTATTCTTTGGGTCTATTTCGCTGATTTCCCTGGCATACGTGACTGATGCTGCACCACACAAGCGCCGTATAAACGAGGGGACATTCTGCTTACACGTTATTAATCTTTCTAACCGTAGAATACCTGTCTCCGGATCAACGTGTTGGTCGATTACGTCTATTGCTATTACGTGAGGGCAGTTCTCGTTTGGGTATTTGCGCCAATTTGCGGCGCTTACTTGTGTCCAGGGATAGCGGAATATGTGTGAAGTTGTGAAAATTTTCATTGTCTAGTATGCTGAATAAGACTGTGTCAAAAGCGCTGAAGTTTGTAAAATGCAAAAGATTGAGGAGCGCGCAAGTACAACGTCGTAGGAAGCAGGTGTTAATTCTAGTTTCGTTTTAATTTTTTTTCTCTGTAGTACAGATTTGAGAATATAAACCGAGACGGGATTGTTAGTTTGAGGATGCTCGATAGTGACTCATATTAAATTAACCTATGCAGTTACTTTCACTGTCCTAAGCAACCACTGAATAGTTTGCCACTCATTTCCATGCAGCCAGTAACAGTAATAGTAATAATAAAAGACACATCGGCTTACCTCCAATAGAAATTCGAATATTTACCAAAACTTTGTATTTGGAGAGCGGGCTCGACAGAGGAAGGAGTATGTGAAGACGTGGTTTATGGTATGGAGTCGCTCCAGGTGTAAATTTGACTGAGGCAGATCGACAAAACGAGGCGATAACGAGAGGGAGATAACGGAAAAAGAGATTGACAAGTGATATCGGCAAATTCATAGATTTTTTCATTCTTGTGTCACTATTGCATGCCTAATCAATTGTGGCGCGTTGAAACGAGGCCCCAATTGGATAAAGGTTGCTAAAGAAAGTAAAGTGAGGGCTCGTGGCATAATAAAGATCATTCTGCCAAAGTAGTGGTTATGTAATAAATAGTACTATTGGTTAAAAATTGTATGTACCAACCATATTAGGTTAGTTTATAACTTTGTGACACGTCTTTTTTTTGATAACATATGAAAACATGTATTATTAACTCGAATAAAAGAACTGAATCGTGAGGAAATCATCTGATCTCATGACGGGATCTTGCGAAACGCGAAATCCAAATAAATGGAGTTACAGTACATCAAGAAATATCAATATACGGACGTTATCGGCATAATTCAACAGATATTGACATGACGTTATTAAATGTAACGGTAAAGAGGCAGAAGCACCATTCCTCTTTACGCAGATGTTGAGACATTTACCAGCTACGGAATGACTGAAGTAATTACAACGTCAATTGACAATGGATAGTACTTTTTATTATTTTTTTTACGCAAGCCTCCCCAGAGTAGACTGCAAAGACAGACGACATTACGTTGTTATGATAGATCTACTTGTCACCAATTATCATCTCCAACGAGACGCACCACCATCAGACATCCCGATATTCATTCATAGAATTCATCGAATGGGTTTGCTGGATGAGAAAAAAGAAAAGTCCGACTGAGATTGTCACTCTCAAAAAAAAAGAGTAGCGAATTCATAATAAATGAAAAACAAACAAATAAATAACTAATCTCAAAATTCTTAAATTCGCTCTATTAACTACGACTGATTATATTGACTAATAGCAACTGTATCACCCCTAGTCAACAAAGAAGGATCACTTGGTCTTCTTTTAATATTGATACTTGAGTAGGAAGGCTCATCCTCATCCTTATCACCAAAACCTAAACCAGATAATTCTTCTCCCACTTCATCAACATCAGCAATATACCCACCATTGCCTCGTATCCTGGGTGATGCGGGTGCAGACAAAGGCTTGGGATACTTGACTTTGTACTGCTCAAAGTCTTCCACGTCTCCGCTGAACGCATGATATGATCTGTGGAGGGCCAATTTGCGGGCCCGAACATATTCCATACCCATCAGTTGCCAATCTAATAGATCAGATAATCGCTCTGTACGATTGCGCTGAATAATACGTTGTCGGCGAGATTTCTGACAAAACTGTAGCATATAATCTGCCAATTGTTGAACCGACTCCTCCACCGATTTCATTCTGCGATCGACTATGTATATACCATAATCTGTTGGGTTGGCTTCGATAACATCTTCCATAAAGCATCCGAACCCGGACAAATTAGTTGTGATTGATGGAACTCCCATCACTGTACACTCTGCAGGTGTATATCCCCACGGTTCATAGTAACTGGGGAACACACCCAAGTGACAGCCACGGACGAATTCTTCATAATCGAGACCAAAAAGCGGATTGTTTGAACTTAAAAATTCAGGATGGAAGATGACTTTTACTCGATCTGATGGGTTGTTGAATAATTGTGATGCGCGTATCTGCTTCAGTATTGAGTCGTTTGAGTCATCTGCCATGTTGTGTGTTGTGATTGGGGGAAGACCATCCCGTTTGAGGGCCATTACGCGACGTTTTAGGAGAACTTTATCTTCGTTTGTTAGCAATTCTGAGGGGTCAATAACAGCAGCTTTGATTTCACCGCTATAAATCACAGTTAAAGTTAGAATGTTATAAAAATTACAATACGCATTCGGCATTTGTTGCTGTTGTTGTCGTTGCTTGCATTACATACCCTGTGTATCGAGCCGCCTTTTCAAATATTCGTTGTCCAATCCGGTCTGTAATTTCTTTTACAGTGTCTTGTAATTGTTTAGTTACAGCTTGACCTTGAAGAGCTTCTACAGAATACGAATGTGTAGCAGCAGGCATGACAATAAATGCAACCACAGTCACTGGCGAGTTGCATGACTTTAACCGATGATTGAGCCCTGTTATAAAAAGGGAAATGTGTTCAGTCAACAGTAACGATCGAGTGTCTTCCGTTCTCTAAATCAGTAGTGTTCTGTCTCATGTATTTTGCAATGCTTACTTGCGAGTGACTCAATGAACATATCAACGCCTTTGTTTCTATATTCGTATCGACCAGCCGTAAAGAAATATAATGTGTTATCGAGATCAAAATCATAATGACCGTAGAAATGACCTTTGACAAAGTTGTGTATTCTCTCTTTGCTACGTGCATGAATATTCTGGAATTCGTGCATAGCAGAGAATTTGACTACGTTTAGGCCATTCGGTAATACACCATCTGGCAAGATACGGGATATTTGTAAGTATAAAAAACAAAAGCCTATAAAGCGCATATACACATATATTGCTAGAATCTTCTTACCCGGCTTGCGTTTTAACAAATGTTCCGCCTCATATGCTGTAATGTGACTAACAGTGGTGAAAACTTCCGCACAGTGCGCAGCAGCTCTTTCTATACAATAACGGTGATATATGCCACGTTTTCCCGCTTCTTCATCGACAGCAAAGTGTGCAATGTTGTTGTAAAAATCGGTAGATCCAGCGCATAAATAACGACCGAGCAACGTGGCATGAGTGGTGAAGATAGTAGTGCAATCGATGTGTCGTTTGCGAATCAATGGGATGGCAACCGACGACTGCCATTCGTGGAAATGAGCAATAACGGCTTTCGACTTTTCACGACTAGTAAACTGGATGTGTGACAAAAGAATACAAAGTATTAGCATGAGCATGATCAAATCTCGCTAGACTGCGTAAAGTCGTACTCGATTTATCAAGAGGCCGATAATTACCTCGCTCAAAAACCAAGAAACTATATATCCAAACAAAATAGCATCATTCGTTTCAAAGTCGTTGGGTGGCGAGGGAATATGAGCCACATTCCACAGATCACCCTTCCATTCATCAAGCTTTTCAAAACGCGACTGTGTATCAAATAAAATGACATTCGGTGCTCCTTCGATCAACCATCGTCCATACATGTATTTTACACCATATTGAGCCATTGTATCGAGCGTTTCCTTCAAATGAGGTAAAGTCGGCACCATGGGTTCAACCTCAGCGGCAGCATGTTTCATAACCAGAGGTCCAATCATACAATATCTATTTCCATACTCGTGGACTGTAACCGGCGCTTTCGACTTGATTACTGTGTGAATTCCACCAACTGCAGACAATCAAATAGACAGAATAAGATCAACATACTGTGCGACATGGAGGTCTCAATCATGTGTAATGATGATTATAGAACAGCAATTGTTCGAATTTGCCACTGTGTTCATTTTGCCGACGATAAGAAAAACACAACCGAATACTTGTGCTTTTGCAGGTATTTATGATGGTTGTTTTCTAGCTACTATGCTCATAAATAGTTGTTACAACGGGTAACAGCTTGCTTTCGTGAATCGTTCACGTACCTTTGTTAACCACTTCCCATGCTATTTCGAACAAAAGTGAGTGATGTACGTCGCGGCCCATTATGACAGAAAATGATAAGCAGAATTTGGTTGTTTTTAGTCAGTCAAGTATAATAAATCTATCTGTTCAATGTCACTGTCTTTGTTCTTAGCGTCAGCGTCAGCAAGTCTTTATTTTTTCAATAAAAAAATTTTTTGAAGCGAAGAGTGGGGGGGGTGGCAATGGGGAATCTCGGTTTGGGCTCTTTATATATGTTTATATTATCTATGATCAGTAGTAATGTGCGTTTTGTGGTGTGACTATCAAGAGACAATTTTGATAAGCAAGCCCAATGTTTGACATAAATAGTTAAGATGATGTTTCGGCACACCACACACGTTTGGCGCACTTACTGGAAGTTACTCAAAATTACGCCAATAACTATAATTTCATTGACTAGTAATTACTAAAGAATTTTCACATCAGCTGATGTCATGGGTATATATAGGTGACAAACTTTTGTTCTAAATACGGAATTGAGCAAAAATCATTCGATTCCTCGCAGGGGGTGGAAAAAAAAAGACACAAGAAACAGGAGTCAAGAAGATCAGTTGATATTGTCTGGCCATTTAATTTGTCCAATTACAAGCTTTGCCTTCATTCTTGCTGATGAAGTGGATTTGTATCGTGGATTTCACATGACAGTCGTTGATGAGGGGCACCTCACGGAAATGGGTATAGACTCCTGTTGGCAGCTCATGTTGCTTATAATTATAGTTCTGGTTGTGTTCAGAGATAGAACACTCGCTAGTGAGAGAGGAGAACCATCAACTTTACAATGACGAGGCCTTAATTGGATAACGATGGGGAACAAAGAAAAACCAGAAAGACAAGTAGCGTATAATAGACTTTCTATCACGTGGTTATCATTAATTGTCTCAGCCACAAACTGTTATCATGTCATCAAGAAATCAGATAATGCACGGTGGGACAGAATTGTTGTATTGATAATAGTTACGATAACAAATTTATTTACAAATGATTGTTAGTCTTATTTTTCAGTGTGCGAATAGTTTGAATCCGGTTTGGCATATGACACCAATTAGGTCATGAACGTGTCTATCAAGTTTGGTCTCGAAAAACAGAAAATATCATAATATGACGAATTAGGAACAAAACAAACATTGCGAACTTTGCATAATTGTATTCCTAAGTCGGGTTTGTCGGTCGTTTTCTTGGATATTTAAAATTTTGTCAAGTCGGGCGACATATATAATTGCGATAAGTCGATCTACATAATTTTGCGATATATAAAATTTTAATCCTCCACAAACACGTTATTATTTTCTCTATTCTGTTATTTTCGTTTAGCAAAATCCAATAAACAACCAACCGAATGGTTATTACATCGTACTCTTTAGAGATGTTGTCAACAATTGCCTTCAATGCTATCAGTCAGTTTTTGTTTAAATTCCCGAAAGTAAAAGCACCTTTAACTATTGGATGTCACAATTTTGTGCAACAAAACAACTACGAAGTACTGTATCATTATAATGTAAAAAGATTACTGTATCCTTCCGAAAAACAAAAATAAGCACCACCCAAAATTTATGCAAAAAATTTTTTGTTATATTTTTTATTCTAATGCTTCCTCTCTAATTTATCAAGCTGAATCACTATCTATATCTACAATTTCCCTTTTATTTTCATCAATTTCCTCCTTTTGTCCAAATATTTCAGCTTTTCAGCAGCAGAATACGATGAGCGTTGAATTTTTAGCATTGTGTAAAGAAAAATTGCAGTATGATCTAATGACTGTCTATTGCTTCAATCGTATGATTCAAAACGCTTCTAATGACATGTTCACTGCTTTAATATTATTAATATTAATCGTATGATTGACGATTCTAAATAAGTAAAGATCTGTTATTAATTATCGTATGAGCTGTGATCGGCCAGTTAAAATTGAAGGAATATGTGTTTACATTATACAGTCATCACGTGATTAAGACTTATCGAGATGCATTCAACTGAGACTTGTTTGGAGCTGTTGGTCTTATCGAGAATTTACATAGTGAAAAGAACGTAGAAAAGATTTTGGCCGACTTATCGAGACTGACTGTGTATTTAGATTCTTCAATGTCTCCTATGTGTTAGTCCAACATCGAATATAGTCGCTTTGGATTATATTCAATAAATCAGAATCTAGTTAAAAAAGTGCATTTTATCTAAGACATCTCGACAGTTTGCCTCATGTATTCGTTATCTTCTTCAATTTGTGGGATTATAATAATGTGCAGTCCCAAAGTTTCATCCCGTGGTTAAATTTAGGTTGTGATTGGCTGAGAATCACAGAGTCGCCATCAACACATATTTTATTATTGTAAATCATGCTTTATTCGCAGGTCGGAATTTAATCAGCTTTTAATTGACTCACGTGTCGATGACTACGTAAAATAATTATGTTAACATACCATGATCTATTGCGTTGATTGGTTCGTAAGATTCAATGTCTACACAACAGTGGTTAGAAAGTCTGCGGAACTGCCCAATTTGTGACCATAAGGAATTTTGTTTCGTCAGAAGTCAGTGAGTTGTTTTCCGTGATTTTTAAAAATTATAATGCACAAGTTTTTTAATGCTAATAACCGTATTAGTATTGCTGTTCTAGCATAATAACAGTTATAATTTTTCATAAAGTGTCTGTAGTTTGAGTATAATATTTGGCGCGTGTGAAAAGTTAGTTTGCTCAAGCTCGGACATAATAATGCACTGTTTGAACAAAGTTATAGAATCTCGTTTATCTTGTAAACCACACTTTGTGTTCGCCAACGTCGACAATATTCCACTATTATATAAAACCCTACTTTGTCTAGGTTTGTTGGAAGTTGTTGTTAGTTGGACCAGTTGGGAGATTGCTCGTTAGCATTAAGTTTAGTTCAGCAAGCTGGGACAACGACCCGAACGCATAATTTCCACGTATTCTTCAGATAATAGCGCATGCCATAAATATCAACTATCCAACGTTATTTCTATCTAAAAAAACTCATTTTTGAACGAGAATTTCAGTATTTTGCCGCGCTAATTCTGTCCTGAATTTTCTTTGAAGAAAACACGAATTGAAAAACTATTACTGTAAATATAGAAGGGTGATTTCCAATGAAAACTCTCCAATAATATAAATAACATTAACTAAAGAATATATCCTGTAGCTAAAAACTTTTCACGCTATGCCACTCAGTTGCTGAGCGTATTATAGTTTAAGCACAAAATATGTGTACAGTCTTTATCCAATTGGAACTGAGACACAACGGCATTCAGTCAAGTACGTTTTTTGATTGGGGTAACATTATCTAACAATGTGTTTATACGGTTTTTTTATTGGGACACAGCGATATCAATGTGCAATTAATTGTAATTTTTTATTATTATTGTAAGACGTAATTATCAAACATGGTAAGCCTTAAAACGCTTACTCTCATTCGTGTACTACGTATTCTATGTCAATATTTCGAAGCGTGAACTGTGATCGAGCATCCGTTATAGTAGTACAATTCTTAAAACAAGTTTTTATGGTTACTCTTTGAATCGCCCTTCGACGCAAAGACAGAAGTAAAAGTCAAAAACAAAATTATTGAATAAAATAAAAAAATGGAGAGCAAAATGTTAAACCAATTAGAAGAAGAAAACACATTATTGAAAAGGCAATGAAATGGTTAAGTTGCTTAAAGTGAGGTTAAAGCAACTAAAAGTGACTTTGCTTAAAAACAGCTGTTTATTATCGAGATACAAAGTAATATAACCTGCATCAGAAGTTAAAAATAATAAAAGCCATCATTTATAACATTTACTGCATCAAGTTTTATGCGTGTGTCTTGTTGCTTTATTTAGCGTATTTTTACGTTTGGCCAAAATACTAGCAAAAAATCAACAACAAATAAATAAAGCCTGAATGAGGGTAACTTCCAACCTATAGCCTCCATTGCTTAAGGTGTGGACTACAAGAGTATCTAATCTTTTTAATGCTGCAACAAAACCTGACAAGAATAAACATTTGACCAATGAGCTAATGTGGCTAAAATTTTGCCAAGTAACTGGTTTTTAGCTTTAATTTAATATCAGTGGCATAGTTGTGGTCATAAATTTATTGATAAACTTTACTGCATTTATAAATCTGTGTATGGTGTCAAAACGAAATAAATGTCTTACTGGCAGTTATTATTATAACAGTATATATTTAATATAGGCTTATCTCTGTATGTTAAATATTAATATAAAACTAATTTACATCAAATTTACCATGAAACCAAACATTAGAAGCATTCTAAAAAAAGTTCAGGGAGAAAAAATTGCGCGTTATGTCTTAAAAATAAATGACACCAAAATTTCTACAGTCAAACCGATACTTTTGTTCCGCCAAAAATTTATCGGTGAAGCGGGGTATCGGTAGATCGGGAGTTTTTCTCTTCTACTGATATGATCTTGTAATTAGATTGGTTAACTTCGCCAATCCTTGAAATTTAATTGGACTGATTTCTTGTGTTGCCCCCGCTTTAGACGACCCCC